CCAGGTATGGTAAGAATTTAAAATGGTCTCTCACCTTTAGTACTATTTATGCAATATTGCATATCATTATAGAAGTAAAATAAAGTTTTACCAAAATTTTTATAACTTCAGAAAACATGGGTAAATATTTACCCTTTCATTAAGATTAAGATTCATGATTACTTTATTATGTATTATTCTATTATATTTAGAAGTAGTTTCCTTGTTACCTATAAATATATATTTGTGATATTATCTATGTATATAGAATAGGTTCAGACTTACCATGTCTCATTGATTGAAATATAAATTTAGAGTAACTTTATCATTAATAAGCACAAATTTCAGATGTGTGAAATAACAAATGTTTTCAAAATCATTCTTTTTCAAATAAGATAAAAACCAATCTGATGATGATGTGAATATCAATATTTTTAAAGGAATAGTTATTCACATGTATATAAGTGCACATATTTTCAATCTCAACACTCAGGATGCTGGAGCAGGCAGAGTCATATGAGTTCATGGCTGTTCCTGTGGTTTCATAGTAAGACTTTGTTGTAAAAAAAAGAAAGAAGATGTCTATATTAAAAAAAAAACCAACTTCAAACAAATAAACTAGCAAGCAAGCAAGCAAACAAGAAAACAGACTCACGAAGGGTCATTAATGACAGTCCGCAAGGCAGTGAGAAGGTCTGTAGCTGACAGTGTGTTGAAGTCCACTCTAACAGCTGCTCCCTTGGCTACCATGTGGTTAATATTATCTGGTTGATCCCCAAACAAGGGAATACCAACAATAGGAACGCCATGATAGATTGCCTCATAGATACTGTTGGTCCCACCATGAACTATAAAAGCTTTGGTTTTTGGATGACCTACGGTGAGAAGAAGTTTTACATAATTTTTGATCATAATAATAAAGAGAGGGGAAATATGTAGGCTCAGAAGGGGGCTGTTCTCAAGTAAGTATATTATTATAGCCACAAACCTGTAGTGACATTTGCCTTACCAACAAGGTCATTCTGGGGAATCCATTTGTACAGCCGAGTGTTGGATCCTAAGGAGTCTGGTTTCTTACCATCAAATCTCCACAGAACCTGTTACACACAGACAATACCTTACTTAATTACAGAAATCTCAATGCTTTGGAATATTTTGATTCTGGTTAATTGAGATTACTCAGTTGAACATTATCCAGATGATGGAGAATGAAATTTAAGAGAGGGGAATTCTAAAATAGTATGAGATATTAAAGGTTGAAATAAATAATACATTTTTTTGTACATGGCTTTTTAATAACTTGAGTATGACATTTAACTATACTAATTTTATATGTGTGTTAATTAGTGACAAATTTGTGTACACACAAAATTTTTAGACAGTTAATATAATTATTATTGGAAGAACCATGGTCAATTAATAATAGTTTATTATTATGTATATTTCATGCATAATGCAATATATATGATATATGAACATATCATATATATTCTCAATATTACATCATTTTAAGTCACAAACACACTATTTTACCTATATTTTCATGTTCTTTAGGCTCTTCATTATAATTGAGTTTATTTTGACTTATAATATATCATATGGTATAATTTACTATTTCTAAAAATAATTTATGACCAAGAATAAAATTTCCTTTTTTTCAGATAAAATTGATTAAAGACTGTCCATTAAAAAATTTCATCAGGAATAATGAAAACATGCTTTCTCTTGTTCTGAATACATTTCCTGTTTAGTATCAAGAGCTTAAAGTAAAAAGCATTGTCACAAATTGGAATGTGAACTGCGAGACTTTTTTCATGCTTTGAGGTTAGCAAAATAAATAAACTCCATAATAGGAGAAATTGGTATCATGTAATAGAGTGAATCTATCTTACAAACATCCAAACACTGCTACTGTTTGAAAGTCAATCAATAATACAATTTATGGAGTGGCAGCTGCTAGATTCTTCCTATGTTATCCTTGTTTACACACGACTCCTTCTTAAATTCCAATCTCTTTCACCATCCAGAAAAACAAGCTCACTTGATGTACTAGAAACAGAATTCCTCCTGATGAGCTCATAATTTCATAATCCTGGTCTTAGTTGAGGGTAGGAACTTTTTTTTTAAAATCTATTCTCTCATATTTTTGTACATCAGTAATTAGGAAGAACATATTTTTCCTCTTTCTTTCATTTTCTGTGTGTGGATGTTTTGCCTGCATGTAATTCTCTGCACTGTGAGTGTTATTACTGGGAGTTTGAAGAGCTCACTAGATTCCCTGGCAATTGAGTTGGGGACACTTGTGAACTATTCTGTAAATCCTAGCAATCAAGCCCAGTTCCTCTGGAAGAGCAGCCTGTGCTCTTAATGCATCACTAAGGCATCGCTCCAGCCCAAGCATAGTGTTTCCCATTATTGTATTTCCTCCTCCTGTTTCTCCTTTCTTCCATCCTTTCTTTCTTTTACTTATCTTTTCCTCTCCCTTCTTTTGAGACATTGAACCATGGAATAGCCCAGAAAAGCTTTGGAATGAACGTGAAGTCTAAACTGGTTGTAAATATGATGAAAAAGACCTACCACAGATCTCTAAGCACCAACATGTCAGAGATGTACAATCCTGCTGGATCTACATGTAATCTTTCAGGTCATAATGGAATCAGAAAGAGACTAATATTCTATCCTATGCAATTCATAATTTTTTAAAATATGGTGTTTGAGATGCATAAAAAACGCCCAGTTACTTTTCACAGGAATTTTCCCTACTGTAATCCTGTCAGTGTTCAACACTCTTATATAATACATTTTCCATCTAGTGGACACTTTCTCTTACCTTCTGTGGAATCTGAGCAAGAGCAGAAGCAACTACATTGGCCTTTTCCTCTGTCATGTTTTTAACCATTGATCCCAGAGAAAATACCACCACACCATGTTCTCCAGAGCTCTGAACAAATTCTTCCATTTCCTACAAAGACAGTTGTGACATCACAAATATATAGCTGCATGGGTAGCATTGTTTAAAGGACTGAGATGAACATTACCAGAGGAAATCATGAAATTATGGGAATTATTTTAGGAAGACCAGTGAGTGTATCCAGTGCCTCAATCTTCAGGGTTCATGGAGAGTGCATTTATACTCTTAGTACAATTGACTAAACTTAAAAAGTTAGAGGAAAAAAAACTTTATTGTTAGTAGAGAGGTCACTGCAATGTAGAGGATTATTAGGAGGTATTTTAAGAACAACTTGAGAAGGAGGGAGAAAGATTTTAAGAGCCAGAGGGGATAGATGACATCCCAGTGTCTACCAGGTACAATAACACTTATGAACTTATAAACTCACAGAGATTGTAGTAACATGTCTAAAACAGTCACACATTAAGTCAGATGAAGTCCAGCACTGAGAGTAGAAAATGGTCATGGAATTCCACTTCTAACTAAGAAGCTACTTGCAATTGGTATCTGATAACAAAGGGTTAAATCAGTTCTCCCTAATAGAGAGTGACTGGGTAAATCACTCATACACCAGAGCAGGTCCCAAGCTCAGGAGTATTTAGCCAACCAAAAATAAATGCCATGCTTTTTATCTTTCGTGTTTTTTTTCCTCTCCTTTTGTTTGCTTGCGAATTTTTGGGTTCATTGCTTTTAAGTCTATTCCTTTGGGTTTTTTTTTTTTTTGTGATTTCTTTGAGGGAAATGAGAGGGAGTAGCAGTGAAAGAGAGAATGGAAAAGAGAAAGGAAGAGAGGGAGTGGGAGAGGCTGATGAGAGATGAAATAGGCAGTCTAAGAGGGGGACCAGGAGGTAGGCAGCATTTGGGATTTTTTTATTCTCACATTCAAAAGAGAGAAATTATCTGTAGTACATTTTAAATGAAAGTAAAGATGTTTCTACTGCCAAAAAAAAAACAAACAAAAAAAGAAAAGAAAAGGAGAGAAAAAAGAAAAGAAAACTCTATGACATTGGGAAAAACAAAATAGAAAAAAAAACTAGTAATGTATTGAATAATCCCAGTAGCCCTGGGAATAAATTAGGAATTGAAAAAGAGGAGTACCTTATAGTAAAAGCTTATAAAGAAGAAAGAAATGTATCAAATTGAAGAGATTGTCTAAAGATTTAGTAAATATTTTTAAATTGTTCAGAGAGTGTGTTAATTACAAAAAACCTCTCTAGCTCTGCCAGAGCCTTACATATACAGAGGTGGATGCTGGAAGCTAACCACTGAACTGATCACGGGGTCCCCAATGGAGGAGTTAGAGAGAAGAGTGAAGGAGTTGAAGGGGCTTGTGACCCCATGGGGAGAGTGACATTATCAACTAACCACAGCTCCTAGTGTCTAAACAGCTAGCCTGGGAACACACCTGGAGGGACTCATGGCTCCAGCTATATATGTAGTGGAGGATTACCTTGTCAGGCATCAGTGGAAGAGAAGATTCTTGGTCCCAAGAAAGGTGGATGCCCCAAGTGAGGGGAATTTGAGGGCAAGAGACCTGAATGGGTATATGGGTGGAGGCACACCCTCATAAAAGCAGGAAGAGGGGAATGGGATAAGGATTTTTTTTGGGGGGATTGGAAAAGAGGATAACATTTCAAATGTAGAGCAATAAATTATCCAACAAAAAAAAAGAAAAAAAAACCCAGATAATAGAATTGAATATTGCAGTAGAGCATTCGAGACTTTTTGTCAACAATTTAATATTACTCATGTTACTGGGATTCTTCATAATCCTCAAAGAAAAGGGACTGTGGAAGAGGCCCATGGACCTTTAAAATAATATTGTCATAAAATAAAAAAAGGGGGTATATCCCTGTACACCACAAATTTATTTAAATCATGTTCTTTTTATTTTAATTTTTTTTAAAAAAATTGGATACCAAGGAATCTGCTGAGTGTCTATGGTACCCTACAACTAGGCATACTTATGCCTAGGTGAGAGGAAAAGACCCACTTACTGGCATAAGGCATGATACCTATCAGGTAATAACTATATGAGAGAGGATGTGTTTGTGTTTTTTTTTTTCTGCAGCAAGCAGAAGGAGCATGGTGACTGCCAGAATGATTGGTGAGACATGCTGATGCTGGGACAAAGAATGATGGTGACCTCTGAGCTTGCTGAGTGCCCTGACAATGGTGACTGGAAGCTGCATTGGACGTATGTTCCCGACCCACCTTTGCTTACCTATACCCCAGATGTGACAAGATGCCTTGTCTCAAGTTTTTAGACCTTGTGGGACAGAGAATAAAAAAGAGAAGTGATAACGACTCTTGTATTTTTCTTAAATGTGACCAGTTATTCGGATTCAATCATGGACTGGTCTAGAAATCAATACAATATTGGAAATAACAGTCTTCATTTGGAAGGCCTTATCAACCTAAGGCAGAAGTCCATTGCTTTGATAATGCACATTCCACAAAGGGTACACAAGGCATTCTTGTCAGAACCACCTAAGACAGGCTCAGCCTTGTTTATGAACAAAAAAAAAGGGGGGGGGGAGAGGAGGAGAGCTTTTGGGGTTGCTTGGCAAGAATCTGACATGGACCAAGGAAAAGGAAATGGGCTTCAGGCAGGAATCTGACAAGAGGCTAGAACAAAGAAGTAAGTTCAGACATGAAAATGACTTTGGGCTAGAACAGGGAAGTAGGCTCGGATATTTTGGTCATCTTAATAAGCCCTTAGAAATAGTGATCAAGGAAGTCATCACAGAACTTTGTCTAGTTTCTTGCTTATTCTTTGACTCTTTGTGTTCATTGTCTTGTTTGTTCCTTGACTATTTGCATCTATTGTATTGTTAGTTCCTCAATCTAGAACTGACCTTAATACTTGCATGTAATTAAAATGGCATGAAAGCAAAAAGGAGGGGGGATGGCATAGGGGCATTCTTTGAGGGGACTATGAGGAATGAGGATAACATCTGAACTGCAAATAAATACAATATCCAATAAAAAAAGAAAAGAAAAGAAGATTTCAGGGAAAAAACCTCTCTAACATCAAAAGAAAAAAGAATTCAGTCAGTTTAAACAAATAATCCAAACTAGTTGTTCTCTCAGATGGAAGTAGCCTCCAATCATCTGTAAAATATTTCAGTAATTTTAGCTATCAGAAAAATTTAATTCAATGTGTCCAATATTCCATCATAATCCAGGAATAATGAATATCACAACAATTTAAATAATAGATAAATGCTCATACAGATATTATGGAAATTGAATACTTATGCATTTATCCTTGTTGGAAATGTCAAATGATATCAATATAAAAACATAAATACTTTTCTTCATATAAGTAACATTAGTATGATATATACAGTTAACCTATGGCACCCTTTGATAATATCTGAGGGAAATAATTGCAAGGAAAAAAAATCCACATAATAATGTTTACTACATCACTATTTACAATGACCCTAATATAGAATTAGCTTAAATATTCTTCAACTGATTGATGTGACAAGGTATTGGTAAATATACAACAATATATAATAATGTTTTACCCAGACAGTAAAAATATTATTATTGTATAATCTCAGACAAACAGGTATTGTTTAGAGGACATGATGTTAAGCAATAAGCTAGACACTGAAATATGTGTTGTTTTCTTTTTTATATGTGGAAACTATAAAGACAAAACCAAAATACCTGCAAAATGTAAATGTAGAAATATTACAAGGAAGTGGAAAATGTAAAAGGGAACAGTGTGTGTAACACACACACTTGAAGCTGTCTAACACTACCTGTATGCCATATTATAACCTGTTTATTTACATCTGGAGTTCCTGGCATTTGTCTGTTTTCCTCTCTCTTACTTCATCTGCTAATCTAAACCTGTACACTGGCCAGGCAGTGATAAAACACAAGGATTTGAGGACATTACCTCTGATCTTTGTTGGATATTTTTTTAACTTATCTATCTATCTCTAATCATATAACACATAACATTTATTACATGTTATACAATAGTTCATCATCAGTATAATATTTTCAAATAAAATGTAACTTCTCTTTAATGAAGAAATTGATTCTTTGTTTTTTTAGCTGTTCAACACATCTCTGGCATTTATTACATGTTCTTGAAGAGAATATAAATTATTTTTTATGAGTTACCTAAACATCCTTAAATCACTGACCACATTCTAAAGTGATTTGACACTTTGTTTAACAGTAATGAGACACAGAGATGTAAGGAAATATTATATATGTCAGTTGTCAGAGAGTTCTAATCCACTTTTATGTCTCTCAGGAAACCAAACATCTGGAAAAAACCAAGCATCTTATAAAGAATTGTTTCCATGAAAAAGGAAAAACTGTTTATCAAGGGAAACAATAGAGGGTTACCTTAGGCAGTGGTTTGGCTGGTTTGCAATGGAATCCTCCAACAAATTCAAAATTAGGCAAGTAAGGGTGAGGAAATTGTAAGTCCCAGAAGGTTCGAATGAGCCATATGTCTGCCTTCCCCATCATCTCAGTTAATGTAGTGGGTCTCCCTGCACACCAAAAACATGTAAAATATACAATGGTTAAAGAAGTTTGTCTGAAATATAACAAATGATTTTCATGATTTGAGATCATGTAGACAAGCAATGTAAGATGTTTCAATTATGATTTATGATACAATCATATTAGCATAAATATAAATTGTGTGAAAATTCCATTGATTTGCAAAGTTACATCCATGAATTTGAAGCATACTGAGTCTTGCAAAGAAGCTTGCAAATGATTAGAAAAACAGCTTTCATAGAATACTTAGTCTACTTTATACACTTTCATGGTTATTCCCTTGATTTCTGATTCTTGATATACAGCGTGATAATTTGTAAGGCATGACTAAGTTTCCTTTATCACCGCTGTACTGTACATATTACAGGAAACTGGTAGTACTAACTTAGTCGTATCCATCAAAGTTAAAGCTGGATATTTCCATAAATAGTCAACATTTAAACTCTTTCTACCATTAATTTAGGTAGTATTTTATTTAATGAAAAGACATTTTTAAAACAAATTAATAAAAAAGTGCATTTTGTAGCAAGATTTAAGGCTTTAAGACATAAGTTTTTACAGATCTGAGACATTTCAAATTCTAAGAAAAGCAAGTTGCCTTAACTGTTTCTGGTTCTAGTGATACTATCTAATTGTGAAAAACTTTTCATGATATACTTGATAGATGCTTTAGTTTTTAAGAGGATGTGTTGTTTTCAGTGCTACACAGATAGTTAAGGTAGTAAATCATGAGTCTGTAGTGTTCTCATTTATAGTCATTAAAGCACTCAATGAAACACGGAGTTTCTTTCAGTGAGAAAAACATAGAGTAGATCAAACAACTATCAAGTGAAATCTTCCTTGTCTCATTTGCATGGTTACTAAGTTCTGGAGTGTTCTGATCAGTTCCTCTACAGTATTTTGCCTTGTTTTGAGGCTCTCTGCTTGTTTTCTAGTTTTACTTGATCACCTCACAATGAACAATGTCATTCTATGACTTTATATTCACCTTACACATTCTCATTCAAAGTAA